ACCCTGTCACAACAGTATGTATTCTAGGAAGTCTGTGATTTATCAGCCTCAAAGACATGGATCTCTTTGACACACTTGTGTTTGTGAATCCAGGCCAACTGATCTGAGAGGCTTGAAAAAGCCAACTGCCTTCAAGTTCCTCTCCCATATCCGAAATATGCTGAGAGTAGGAGAAGACATCCTCTAGGGGAGGGGAGGGTGGCTGTTTGAAAAGGGGTTCCAATATAATGAGCAACCCAGATTTGTACTGTGCTTTCCACGGCGGTGATGACAAACATACAGTGCAATCAAGGCAAAGTGATATTTATAAGCTGAGCTGAGCTGAGCTGAGCTGAGAACACCTCCCTCTCTGTCTCCACTGACTAATCTCACTGAACAGTACAAGTTATGCCATTTGGCTCATCTGTAGGATATAGTGTTGACATAGGATTTCTGAATTAACAATAAACACAGAGGTTGTCGCTATTGTGTGACAGCACAATCTCCATGGTGGCTCTGTCGGAACCGCAAAGGCTGACTATTTCAAATGCACAGACATTTATTACAGTTACTGAGGCCTGAGGATATAGGAGTCAATTTTCATTTTCACTGAAAAGAGAGGTTTGCTTAATAAGCTGCTCAAAGGACCTATCATAGATTTAAAATGCACGAACGTTCACCTCTCTGTGCCTATGCATCTGTGGAACACCCTGGCTCCTCTCCAGTGCGCCAAATGTCTCTCAGAAAGGTTTTTTTTTTGTCCGTCTATGGCATTAGACATCTGCTGCAGAACTAAAACCAGTGCAGCATGTTCACTCCATCATTTATCTGTAGCCATTTGGGCTGCATCCTGTTCTCCAAGACCTACATCTTTTGCTTACGTAATTCACATTAGGCGTTCTGCTCCTTGCAATTGCCACAGGCAGACTAATTATAAATCACAGACTGATATATCTACATCAACAACTGATTCATTGCACTATCACATAATAAAAGAGACGATAAAGATTCTAAAATGAGTTTGAGCCAAAAATATCAATAGGGCATGCTTATATATCAGTTCACACAACTTCACAGGGCTTTAAATGAAGCCATTTTGGATGGATCTAATTGTTAGATTGTGTCACTATGCAGGGTAGCTCATTACATATATGCTTGATGAATTTTACAATGGCTCCAAGTGGGATTTGAACCCATGACCCCAATATTGCTCGGTAGGCAATGAGCAAGGAAACCAGGTTAGGCCATTCCAGGAGCACATTCACCTCATTGCAGTCGAAATTGTTAAGGGAGATCTACTGTGACAACCAACATACTGCAGGTAATAAACCACGGTATCTTCGCTCCAGTACAAATTCACAGAAGAGTAATGTGAACAGGCATTCACAGAGGCCACATGACCCAGCAACAGCTTTTGGTGATTTCCAGAATTATCATCAGCAAGAATCTGCCACTGGAGACCTTATTAAACATAAACATAAAGCATGAATAAAACACGTAAAAACCAGAGGGGTTTTCGTAGCTCAGTGGACTGGGCACTAGATCAGATATGGGGATTGTTAAAAGTTACAGGATAAACAAAGCTTTACAAGCTTGTGCCTTGTAGTCTTCTTGTATCCAATATTTTAGCACAGTGAATCTTTAATTTATTGGCAGTATACTAAAACATTTCAACAGAAATGTATAATTCAAAAGATATTCTTTTGCAAATTTTTTTTTTTTTGAGTGACTATCTTTGCTAGTCTGGCGTTAGCGATGTATAGAGTAGCTGATATTGTCTTCAAACATAACAGAGAGATTTCATCAATAACCAAAAAACAATTAAATGTTTGTTGTTGTGCATTTCACAATGGCTGACATAAGCATGAATGCATCTAACAAGCGCTATTGATTCTACAGTAGTGGTCCAAAGGTCAAACATTTTAGCTAAAGAGGAAGTCATACATTTATCCCACTTAATATTCCATCATTGCACTATTGTTACTTTAAATTCTGCTGGGGCAGAGTAAAAGGGACGCCACATGATTAATAAAACACCATTTTTAAAGAGAAAGCCAGTGAGGCTGTGTGTTTGGCAGAAGCAGGGCTCACTGTTGGCTGGATTATATCTTGTCTAACATCACTTCCTCTGACCCGAGAACAGTACACCACGGTGTGGTCATGAGATCAAAAAATTTGCTAGCTCAATCCTTCTTGTTTTTTGCACATGCAGTTTTTTTTGTTGCATTTTTGAAGAAGTTAGTCCACACAATCCATTCAGTCACCGTTGTTAAACTTTTTAAAATTTTCACAGCCTAACCCACATTAGAGATGGTCTTTATGAAACATCAGGTTGAGCAGAAACATTTGAACCGCTTCATTTTTCTCTAAATGGCAGAGATTACTGAGGTTAATGTGTGTGATATTGGCTAAATGCTCTCTCGTTTACAGGCTTCTCCTTGCCTTAGGGGAACTGAATGGTATCTGGCAATTTTTTGGATCAGAAGACACATTCAATACGTTAACACTCATCCTCATGACAGCACGTCAGTGTCTGCATCACACATTGAACCTTGTTTCATTGAACTGCTTGTGAAATATTATCAACCAAACAAGAGTGGATAATGAATGTCCAGGAATTAATTTCAGGACACAATCTTTTAGAAAAGAAAAATGTTTTCACACAGAAAGTTGTGATTATCAGGTGATACTTTACTGGGAACAGTATAACTCCATTCTTTACAACTCTTCTTCTTCTTCTTCTTTTTTTAAATTTTTAAATAGTGACCCCAATGGATATGCGATTTTAATCACACATTTAATTTTAGAGAATTCATTTTCTGTAATTAAGCTATTTGATGCTTTCATTTAAGCTGGCTAAGATGATTATGGTCCACAGTGGACTGAAAATGGTCAGAACATCTGTCATGGATTATTTGCAGTAAAAGGCTAAATTAAAGCCCATCTAGTATATTTATCTAAAACGTAGAGAATCATTATTATATCTGCAAGCATTAACTTGTCAAATATTATTGCTTTTCTGTTATTATTTGTTACTCTTTCTTCATAGGATCTTAGGCAGAGCACAAAAGTGCTTGAAGGAAAATATGTATTAAGGGCACCCATAAAAACCCCATCATGAATTAGCTCATTTGTTTAAAGGTATAGGCAATATTTTTCATTGACACTTTTTGTTAAACTGGTTGAAACTCTCCTGATAGCAATCAGTAATATAAGTGGTTTAAATGTTAAAAAATATACTTATATATTTTGCGGAAGTGCCAATCATTTCATTTGGTCCGAATGCAATAATAGGATGTCCTATACCTGCCTGTCAACTTATGTATTTGCATACCTCCGCGCACCCTGCTCGCGCAGACATCACACGTCATCAGTGCGTTCCTTAAGGCTATGCAGAGAGTTGTAGACAGACAGTCACCGAGTGCCGCAAAAAAACAAAACAAAAAACAGCAGCCACCTTTTATGATTCCTCCTGAACCAAAACAATGAGCTTAGGCTGTGTTCACACCTGAAGAGATGGCAACCTGTGACATTCTACCCGGAGCTGTTCACATCCTCAGACTCGATTTTATGCGTTTCTATCGCAACACTGCCAACATTGAAATCAATTTGCAGCAGTCAGGTGGTACAAGTCCGAGCTCTGTAATTTGTTTAAGTTCATATTTATTGTAATGTTATGTGCTTTGAGACATAAGGTAATTTAATGTCGTCTCTCATGACGCTTTGCAGACTCTGCTCTGTGTGCGTTCATGTGGGATCTCATGCTTTCAAAGCTAGCTTGCTATTGCTAGCCTCTACAAAATAGTCTAAGACTTATTTGACAGAATTTTCATACAACTAAATTAGCCAATACTTGTTTTTTTTAACATTGATAAGTACCAACTGAATAAGAATGTTTTCACAATGGAAATGTGTTTATCAGGTGACACTTTACTGGAAACATTATCACTCCATCCTTGCAAACTACAAATTAATATAATGATTTTTTAAGTGACCCCACATTATTTTTAATTTGAGAGAATTCATTTTCTATAAAATACTGTAATTGAGATACTAGCTAGAGGTTGTCATCTTATAATGTGATTTTCTGCAATGGTTTTCAGCACCTTCCCAAAAAAAGATAGCTCCTCAATCCTCAATACCTCTGGTGAAGCAACAACCCACGAACCCATGAATCATCCATCAAAAATTGCGTAAGCTCTCTCAAAAACCAATACATGGCTCAGAAGCTTTCCCAGTGAATCAAACTTGCTTACAGTGACTATTACAGAACCCCAGTCTCTACCTAGTGAAGTTCTGAAGCCTTGTGAGGGTTGAATGTTAAATGCAGATTAGCACCAGTGCGAGATGCCAGCCTTCCTGGAACTACACTGCAGGGAGTTTTTTTTCCAATCACCAAATAATTATAAAATGGGTTATGATGCAAGGTGTTTACTACTAAGCTTTACTTGCAGTATTCAGGAAGCCTCAAAAGTCACTGGGGTCTATTAGAAGCAATGAGGGACAGTTGTGTCGACCATCATGGATACACTGCCTCTTTCCCCTTGTCTCTTTAGAGCATAGCAATGCACATGTGAACAGAATATGAATGACCCAACGCCATATTCTAGCAAAAGTAATGGTAAGTAGAGCAACAGAAAAGCATAAGACAGATAAAAATGCACAATATTGCACAATCTACCACGTTACAGCCACAGAAATAATGCAAAACCATTACAGCCTGCAGCACAGATAGATAGATAGATAGATAGATAGATAGATAGATAGATAGATAGATAGATAGATATATAGATAGATAGATAGATAGATAGATAGATAGATAGATAGATAGATAGATAGATAGATAGATAGATAGATAGATAGATAGATAGATAGATAATTAGATAGATAATTAGATAGATAGATAGATAGGAAAATGTTCAAAAAGATTCAATGATCCATTCAGCGTCAACTTACTAGAAAAAAGGTTCGTTTTAAAATAGATCTGCACAGACCGGTTAGATTAGGCTACGGTTCCTTACCCATTTTTGTCAGGAAATGCGAGCTGTGAAGCGATATCAGTAAATGGGAGCATTACTGCAGCCCTCACAAAACCCCAGTTCATGTAGAATCCATGCACGATGAACGGAGATGCAAGTAAGAGCAGTGCGCTCTAAAGCGCTCGGTGAGCTTTGACAAAGCAAAGCAGGTGCAAAAAAAGGGGGAGGGGGGGCTGGAAGAGAACAAATCTTCTACAAAATCTGTAAAGAAAACGGGGATAAATCTACCACCGTTGACATGTTTTGCTGGACACATAAAATAAGCTTAGTATCCACATCCGGGAAGGAAATGTCTAAACCAAATGGGCTTTCGACAGCCCCCCTTTGGGTAAAATCCAGTAGAGTTAGTACTTGGTAGGTTTCTCTGATCGAGATGTGCCCTTTAAAACCACTGCCATATACCGCCGTTCTTCAACGCATTCTGGCCCCTCGCTCAGATCTTGCCCACATCCACCACCGCAGTCCATAGATGGAACATAACGTGCTGACTCCGCTGAATGCTGTTGAATGTGTTACAGCATCACCTCTCAGCTTCCTTCCTTGAGTCTGCACGCCTTCATTTCTCGTGAGCGATGTCCACTGCAGAGCCTCCTCAAAGTTGAACCATAGGCTCGAATGAACACTTACTCAACATCCAACAACAAAAAGGTTTTAATTCGTGTTGGTAAGGGATCTTGGCTAATTCTGTCGTTCAATGTCAGCGTATTAACTTAATACGTTGCCTTCGTGAATCTCAGCTCACAGCGTCTGGGTTCATTTAAAGCGACGTTTGTTTGGCGCTGCAGTTTTCCCCTTCTTTAGTTTTGCTTACAAAATATCGCTGTTGCACCGGCCAGCTCTATGTTTCGTCAGAAAATGTAAATAGAAAGTGTAAGCACACGAAAAGAGGCACCGTCTGTGAAAATGTGGCTCAGGAGAAGGGAATATTTGCAGCGATTGACAGATGATGTGTTAAACCTGACACTGCGCGTTTGAAACGCATCTGTTGCTGGATGATGCGCATCATAGTGTGTGCGCGCGGGCGCGCGTCCAGTCTTTACTTACTCATTTCGTCCAAAGCCAAAAGAACAGCGCGATATCTTTATTTAAAATGGGCTTTATCAATATGTGTGAATTTTCTCCATATAGTGATTTTTTTTTGGGCAACAATTGACTTGCGATTGCCACCTACCGGCATTCATCGCCCTCTTGATATTTCTGGTCTCTGCCAATTAGCCAACCATCACCAGAAACACTAGCTACATCTCTAACTTTTATACAGAGAAGCATTGTCGGTAATTTTTTTAACGATTCTTCCTTTCCTGCATTGGGCCCTCATTGTTTTATTTTTGACCAAGGTGTAGTAGACACCTAGATATGCAGCTTTAATTAATTCTTTGTGAATCCATTAATCATATCAATCAGCTCTTTTTTTATTTTTAAATGCGTTATTTAAAATTATTTTTGATAAGTAGGGTTTTTTTTTTGGGGGGGGGGGGGGGGGGGGGGGGAGATTTGCAAATACATGTGCAAAGTGGGTCCATCCATATTGAAATATTATGAAATGACAAAAGTGATTGAAAGTAACTAGGAAAAGGGATGCCTTTTGATGAACCTAAAAGTATCCTAAATCCTAAATCCTCAAATTACTTTGCTTGACATCCTCAAAATGTATATCAAGCTTCTCTCAATCTGATCTACATACATACATATTTAGCGGCATATGTATATGCTCGTTGTGAGCATAAGCTTCTATAAAGAATATAAAGTGGAACACTTTGTATAATTGTTCTGTTGGATTATGATCTAATTATCATGCTATTTGGAGATAGCATGTCTTATAGCCTGGAGATTCCTAAAATGCTATAATAGCTAATTGTAGCAGTGCTAAAGCACACTCGTGTTCCCTTCTGGAAAATGCAGCTTATGATGGCAGCTGGTTTGACTTCGACCAAGCCGGTGATTCGCTGGTCTAGATGAATGATCATATGGACCACCAGGACTGACATTAACCTGGTGTGGTAGAGTCTATCTTTCCAGGTCAATGTCAGCACTGTTAGCCCTGCCAGGCCTCATTATATTGTTTTGATACATTTATTGTTTAGGAGGGATGTGGCATCATATTTAAACCTTATAGGCTGAGAATATAAAGTTTGTTTTTTGGGTGCTCCGTAGCAAATCTACCTGAAACTGTTTTTTTGCTTAGTTCACCTTAAATTGAAACATCAGTCGTTTGTGGAGACATGGTCCATTAGATGAGCCTTCAGTTTAATCAGTGCAATATACTGTTCACCCTATTCCATTATTCTGTGGTCTAATGAAAGGAGAGTTATGAATAACACTGTCTTTATCACCATTATGGCTTAGAGAGTAAGGCACTCAACCATAGCTAACTGAGGGGTATAGCTAACTGCCATAGCTAACTGTCACTACAGTTAATGTAAATAGAAAAAGCATAATATCATCACTCCAAATTCTTACGTAACAGATAACACCAATCTCATCGATTTATATAATGTGACCCTGCTCTGAGTTTGAACCGGGGTAAAGAACCTTGCATTGTTGGTATATATTTCTAGTACATCACTATTTCCTGCATAGGTACATAAGCAGTGCCGAGAGGTAACTTTTTCATCCATGGCCCACTCCCCTTTTCCATGATGCATACAAATACAGATAGTAAACTGTAATGAGGTGCAGTGCGTCAGCTGAGAACAAACTCAATCAACAGATAAAAATCACAGATGAAAAACCATAGCAGGTGTAAATTTAAAAGTATAACCATTATTCTACCTTATTTGTAGACAAAAGCCATCCTCTGATCATTCTTTGCGATTGAACTCTGCCTAAACTGTCATTATGTTACGTTAGCTATACCGTTTTAATCCATGTCCAGATAATGTGTACTTTGCGTATGTGAAAAATGCTTGCAGTGGATTTTCACAAAGTTTGGGAAAACATGATAGTATACAGTTGTTGTTTACTTTGTGTTAATTTGATTTAATTGAGTTAGCTTGGCATCAGCTGCATAGGTGATTTTAATCCATTTCAGTCAACTGCATCTCATATGAACAGTAGTTGAAAGAACAACCAACGAGAATGCATAATAATGATGGTGATTGTTTCATAGCCATAGAGCGTATAGCTGTTTGAGCAAAAGCTGTTTGATTTCCCCGAATCACCTCGCAACAGACTGTGGAAATCTATCGTACAGCAAAGGAATAATTTGTGGACAGTGACATGCATATTTCCCAAATTTTGTTATGTAAATACATGTACGATTTATGGTACACATCAAATTACAATAAAACAAATCCCTGCACTAAATCTTTCGAATGCTTTAGGTATGAAGAAAATCTGCTGCTTATATTAAAACAAACAGTTTTAATATTGTGTTTGTAACTAGCTCTTGGATGATTTCATGAGGTCTGGGGTAGATTTTGTTCTGCCCCCAGCCCACACCAAATGAAGGCCAGTGGGTGACTGTCAGTATACATCGAACCTCATTACCCCCTTATTGTCTTATGCATCTGTTGCTCTTTCATTTTCTGATAATGATTTCATATAGGATGGCTATAGGATGTACCCTTCTGCGGGTTCTGCTGCCAGCGAAGACAGTTGGAAAAATGCTGCCTCAACTACTATGGTTGGTTCATCTGCTTTGCAAATAAACAGATTCAAAAATATTTGTATTCTTTGTTGGGGCGGGAGCTGGGCTCTAATACCTGTAGTAGAGGGAGAAGACTCCGCATAAAGCAAGCAACTGTTAAAAATGAAATTCATCAATAAGACTGTACTTTGAATTGATAACACTTTTATATTCAAAATGCAGTTATTTTGCTTTCTTTGATTCGGTTTTCTGAAGCTCAGCAGTTTATGCATATGTTGACAGAATGAATGAATTCATTTTCTGATAAAACTGTAGAGTGAGAAAATAAGCAGCAGGTAGGCTATATATGTATATGATTTTTGTTTGCTATATGGTGCAGTGCAGTTTGTCAGACATGGATGAACAGCTGCATGGACGGTTGGATTGTAAAATCTGTTGTAAAATCTGTCATTTCCTAGCAGTTGCTTGTTTGATTGTAGTATTTTGTACTTCACGGATAAATTCTTTACTCTTTTTCGCTGCATCCCACATATCTGCAGTTCAGAGCCAGCTAGCTTGCATTCAGAAACCTGTCAGCTTTCTGGGACAGACTTCAAAAAGAAGACAAGAGGAAAGACTTTCTAAAGATACCAAGGCTATTAGCTTTAAATCATTAACACTGCTGTCCCACTGCTCTTGTTTTTTCCTGTCTCACTTTAATTTTAAATGACTCATACCTCAACATAGAATATCCAAGGATCATGCTGAGAGCAGAGACAAGGGTGCTATTTTTCATCATATATATCACCTAACTACAAACCTGAAGAATATATTTGTGAGGAGCACCTTTCTCCCCCAAATAAATGTATAAAAATGGAAACAGCAGAAGAGACCATTAAAAGATGACGTGTTTAGTTTTATTCCTAAAATTACCATTAGTGTAATCATTATTTCGGTTATATTAGAAAACATTTCTCCTGAATACACTGTAGGAAATGATAGGACTTCCTCCAATGCTTAATGACAGTTTTGGCCAGGAGCCTAAAAGGCCAAATAATGAGCAGGTCAAATAACGAGTCACAGTTACTTTCCTAAACCAGCAGGGATTTATGAGTAGCAAAGTTAAAATAACTTAAAATCCCTCTCAGATACCTCATGAAATAAAAACAATTAACCTTTGGTAAAACATTTTACAACGAGGAATAACTGTCTTTGTACCTATTGTGTGCCCCTTAAATTTGAAAAGAGTCTGTTGCTTGGTTCTCCTCTTGCCTTTTTATAATTAGCATGCTCTAGACATGTTCTAAAATAACAAGTCAGGTTTATGACTGCTATAAGAGAACAATGAATTGTTCAATGTGTTATTAAAATATTGCTTGAGGACATGGTTTAATTCATTGCTTTCATTTTGTGATTAATTTATTTTAATGCGATAAATTTTATAATTTAATAAATTGAAGTTTCATTCCTTTTTGTTTTCCCCTAGCTTTGGCTTAAAGATTTCCCTCGCCTTTGAGGCATGTGGGTTTAAATCAGTGCGCTAATACACCCAAATAGGGAACCAAACAATTAAATAGTGCACATCTTTGAGTTGAAAGCAGGTACTTCAGTCAGTAAATTGATTCAGTTCCCAGAGCTATACCAAAAAATAAATAAACAATAAACAACGGATCTCTATATCATTCACCATTTATAAAAATGCCATTTATACTGTATATTCACTAATTCCATTAC